GCTCGACAGATCAACCTGCACCATGCGATTGCAGCCTCGGCCGTAATTGCTAGCAGGTTTTCTACGGACGATCTGGTCATTATACTTATTCAAGAGCCGTGGACTTACATAGGCCAGGTAAGGGGCCTAAAAGGATCACACAATAAGGTAATATGGAACCTCGCCGCAGAGAGGCCCAGAGCGTTTGTAGTGCTTAGAAACGATATTGATTATTTCTGCATTACAGACTTTTTAAAGCAAGATTTTGTAGCAGTGCAGGTGACACTTCGGGTGGATGGAAGGCCCTTAGAACTAGTCTTCGCTGCTGCATATTTTCCAGGGGACAACAACACCAGCAGAGGTATAAGAACTGATGTCGCATTACCGTAAGGCCCGACTTCCTCTTATCTTCAGATCTGACGCAAATGCGCACCACGTGGAGTGGGGGAGCATCGACATCAATAAAAGGGGTGTCTTTACTAGAGTACATACAAGCGAAGATTTTGTGTACAAACAATGTTGGACATTGTCCGACGTTCGTCACCAGAGTAAGACAGGAGGTCCTTGATTTCACTCTAAGCAACAGCCTAGGTAACGATCTGATCACACAATGGAGGGTGTCCACGGAGCCTTCGTTGCCTGATCATAGAATTATCCAATTCTTGCTCGGAGCGGAGGTCACGGTAAGTCCTCCGGTGAAATTATTCGATTTTAACCGACCCGGTATAGAGAGGCAACATATAAGAGATGGCTGTATGTCGCTAGAACATAAGGTCAACAGGTTGACGGACATAATGACCGACGCCTTTAACTATAGCTGCCCGGAGACCTAGCCGAAGGGAAGGCCAAAACTGCGTGGTGGTCTCGGGAGATCTCAGCTCTCCGGAAGGAGGTGCGCAGGCTATTTAACAAGGCCAAGCGCACTACATGCTGGGAGAAATACACAGCCAAACTAACAAGCTACAGCAAAGAGATTACAAAGGCGAGGAGAGTAAGTTTCAGAACATTCTGTTAAGGCATCTCTATCACTCCAGCAGCCGCGAGGTTACACAAGGCTCTAGCCAGAGGGACGGTCGAATCGTAACTAGAACTAAAGCTTCCTGATGGCACCTATACTAACAGCAAAGATGAGAGGGCAGCCACTCCGCTTACAACACACTTCCCGGAGGCCACTACCTTAGAACTGGAGTCGGAGGTCCGGCCAGCTAGACTACGACCATGTGACTGAAAAAAAAAAACGAAAAAGAAGTATTTTCACCCAGGATTTAGTCAGGTGGGCGTTGGGATCTTTTGAGCGCTACAAGGCCCCAGGGGTAGATGGCATCCGCCCAGTGATGTCACAACAGAGTGGAGAAAATCCAATACCACACCTAGTAGACATAATGAGAAGCAGTCTTGCGGAAGCTTACGTTCCACAGGTGTGGCGGAGGGCGCGAGTAATCTTTATCCCGAAGGTGGGTAAAACGGATTACTCTATAGCAAAGTCTTTCAGACCTACATATAAGCCTTACCTCCTTTGCGTTAAAAGCAATGGAGAAGATAATAGACAATCATATTAGATCTAGCATTCTAAAGGCAAAACCCCTACACACATGTCAGCATGCATATAGGGCTGGAAAGTCCATGGACACAGCCCTTTATCAACTGACAACCGAAATTCAGGGGGCTTTTGAATGCGGAGAAACAGTGCTCTGTGCTTTCCTCGATACAACTACTAACAAAGGGTTGCCCTCAGGGAAGGGTTTTATCCCCTCTTCTGTGGAGCTTAGTGGTGGATGAACTCCTTCAGCTTCTCTCCGACAATAGTATCCGCTGTCAAGGGTATGCGGATGACATAGTGATATATTATTCAAAGAGGTCTAAGATTAACAAAAGGATGGTGTGCCAAGTTAGGCCTTAGCATCGATCAGGCCAAAACCGCGATCATCCCTTTTACTCGGAAAAGAGCCCTGCCGGGCATGGAAGACATAACCCTGGAGGGGTCTAGGTCAACATCGCCAGCGAAGTGAAGTATCTGGGTCTAATCCTAGACACCAAACTTCTATGGAAGAAACATGTGGACGCGATCTCCTCCAAGGCCACGAAAGCTTTAATGGTATGCAAGCCTCTGGCAGGAAAATCTGGGGTTGCAGCCCCAAGATCCTAAGATGGCCTTACACCATGATAGTACAGCCAATGATTACCTATGGGGCGGTGGCTTGGGTTTCAAGAACTACTCTGCTCACGGTGAGGCAATCACTCACCAAGCTACAAAGACTGGCATCCCTACCAGACACGACTAACGCAGACGCCAATACATTCAAATATTTCACCAGTACACTCAAAACCACATGCCAAAATTTACACACGTGCAGGACACATGTTACAAATAACATATCTATAACACGATATCCTGTTAGATTTTTCATGTCGCACTTAGGAAATTAACGTAAACATTCTATTGGAGTATAACATGCATTTACGTTACAAATCTGCGTTACTTAACACGTTATATAACACGTAGTGTTCTTGTAGGGATGTGTACGCATAACTGGAGTGATGCGCACATGTCCGACGACGGCGCTGAAGGTAGTCTTCAAACTCAAGCCTCTTCACATAACCATACAGCAGGTAGCCAAATAACTCCGCTTAGCTTTGCTAGAGAGGGATGTGGAAAACCTTGTGACCTTTTCATATCCTCTAGGAATATGGAGAAGCTAGGGTCCTCGATCCCACTCGTTCTGTTCCCTAGAGATGACATAGGAAAAACCATAGTATTTCAGAAGAGATTCAAGATAGAGTTATGCAGCAAGGCAACCTGCAGCGTCCCTGCCTTTGAGGGATTACTTCAGAATTGCACAATGCACTGGTACACAGATGGATCTGTTCCTTTGGGGAAATATCCGAGCATCTTGAAAGCAGAAGTCTATGCCATCTACCTATGTGCGAAGACAATAATGAGTAGAGGGTACAGAAATCAGAGAATTATAATGTTGAGCGATAGTCAGGCGGCATTCAAGGCTTTTCTATCCTACGAAGTCAAATACTCGTTGGTCCTTGAGTGCATTGAGAAGCTAAACTTCCTTGGCAGACACAATAACATCAGGTTAGCGTGGGTACCCGGTCATAGGGGAGTAGAGGGTAATGAGGTGACTGACTGCCTCGCTAGAGAGGCGGCAGCCATCACTTCAGTTGGCCCAGAGCCCCTCCTGGCAGTAGGTCCCAATACTATAAAGGAGGAGCCCAGGAGAGAGGTTAACACAGGGATCTAAACTGGCGCAGTTCGGGAGAAATCCGCCAGGCAAAAAGTTTACTGGGAGGGTTTAACAAGAAGAGATTCCAAAGCTTAATAAACCTCCCAAAAGAGGGGCTTAGAATTGTAGCAGGTTTTCTTACAGGACACTGCAGACTAAGGGGTCACCTACATAAGCTGGGCATATGGTCGAACGATCTCTGTAGGTTCTGCAGAAGACGTGAGGAGTTTAGGCTCGTTTTGGCCACAGCTTGAGCACACGCACTCACTACCCCCGAAGGCGCTATTGAACATTCTGACGGATCTGGGCTTAGATGAAGTGTTGTGAAGAGGAGGGCACAATAAATCAACAGGTCGCGGTGCACACCCCATATTAATATCTATTAATCTATCCGTTCACGACGCATAGTGGGGCAGAAAAAGGTTGCTGTAGGCAAATGAATTTTGAGAGCCCAAATATGAACCGATATCAAGTTTCTTTTTTTTTAATGAGAGAAAATTAAATTTAGCGTCGATTTATCCGTGGAGATTTTTAAAAAAGCTCTGGTTTTTTAATTATTTATGTTGAAAAATTAAAGAAACAAATTTTTACGTTTGAATGCTCACCCGTTTTTGGAAAATACTTGAAATTAATTTCAAATGCCTGGAATTATTTAAAAAAATATCTATAAACATTTTTCCATAGGATACATTTAATTAAACAATGTATATCATTTGTTATCTATAATAAATATATATTTTGAAAGCAGTTTTTTTGTTCTTTTTCTGTTCGAAAAACTCGAGAACAGCTGTACCGATATTTTTGAAATTTTATACATCGACTCCACTATCCAAGGATGATAATAATGCCTATTACGGTATCCGACGGATGCCATTCGCACGAATCTAATGCTTCGCTCTCGCTTGTTATGACAGTGCGAATCGGACTAGATCCGTGCGGATGGCATCCGTCGTATACCGTAATAGGCATGAATATATCAAAAGTAATTTCGATATATTAAGGGGGCGTGGCACCTCTCATACAAACTGAAGTTGTCACACAATATGGTTTGGCGTTGATATTATATATATATACTAAGTTGCAGCACTCTACGATGAATACTTCCAGAGATATGTTGTGTGACAACTTCAGTTTGTATGTGAAGTGCCACGCCCCTTGATATATCGAAATTATTTTCCTCTATTATCATCCTTGGAGAGTCTAGATTCGATGCCCAAAATTGCAAAAATATCGGTACAGCTGTTCTCGAGTTTTTCGAACAGAAAAAACGGCTTTTTAAAGTATATTAATATAGATAACAAATTAAAAACATTTTTTAAGTAAATGTATCCTATGAAAAAATGTTTATGCATAATTTTTTAAATGATTGCAGGCATTCAAACGTAAAAATTTGGTTTCTTTCATTTTTCAACATAAATAAATAAAAAACTTTAATTCCCGAATTCCTGACGGAAGTTTGCTCGTAAAACATAATTGGGGCTGTAAGCTTCGTATTTACATATGTATAACGTTGTTCATTGTCTTTGCACCTGTTTGTTGTTCGGCGTTCTTGTCTATCTACATAAATATGTATTAGCGCTGCTAATGTTTTAGTCGGCGAGTTCAATAAAGTCATAGGAAATAACGTCTTTATTCACTTTACATTAAGAAATAGAGTCAGATGGCTTTATTTCCATGGGGAAGCGAAATAAAGCCATAACCGAAAATTTTATATATGAGAAATAAATCCATACGATCCTATTTCAATACAAAAAGTAAATGTTGTCTCTTTAGCGGCAAACATTTTCAAAGTCTCAAAAAATTCTGGCAACACTGCTTGTGTAAAACGTATTTCAATGAATCAATGTTATTTCGTATAAAAAAAAAACGAATCGATTATTTCGGTTCCAAACGCTTCAAAATTCTATATTTTTATTTTCGATCTGGCCTCTTTAATTATTAAAGTTTCTTTGGAGATTCGTATCGAGTTTTCGCATTGCTATCGAAACTTGTCGGCATTCATAACACACGTCGAAGAGTTGTGAGAGCGATCCGAAAATTGTCGCTAGCTAGTTACAAAACTTCCCCGCTAAAAGGTTTTTCTCGAAATTGAAAATTCTGAAGTTTGACCGAATTTATTACACTTCCAATGTTCCACTTTGAAGATCTGACACTTTTTTATCTGTCAGACCTCACCGACCGGTGCTAATTAATGAGGTAAAAAAGGCCAAATTCATGTTTAAATTATAGGTTAGAGTGGTAGTACGAATTTTAAAAGAAATTCTGTTTCTAATATAAAAGTACCTTGTGAGGCATTCCCTCTATGTCAAACCCAACGTTGTTGTTCCATTTCAAAGAAACTTGTATCTGGAAATATAGAAATTATAAGTAAAAACATAATTTCAGATAACTGCCACCATACCACGGTCGGATTTTTATGTGCACCAAAGAACCAAGGTGTTTTTTTCACAGAGCACTTTTGCAGCGTGATATTAGTATTGCGATAATTAATGGCTGTAATACTTTCTGTGGTAGGAATGAAAGAATTGGTTTCTTCATCACCAGATGGGTACGGAAGTGAGTAATTTAATAATCCATAATCATTATGATGTTTAGCGAGCTTATCAAGGCCCTTCAACTCATGTGCATTTCGGCGTTGGATGCATTCAGCCGTGTCTAAAAGTTCAGTATTTGAACATATGGAGTTGTTTGAATCATTTTCATTAAAACGTAAGTCCTGTATGTCAGAGTTTTTGTCGCCGTCTGCTCTTTTCTCATTTAACATTTCTATCTTAGGAAGTTTTTCAACACCTTTTGCTTCATTCTCATTCAAATTGTCAAGATTTAGTTGTTGTTGACAACGTATCATTTCATAATTTGTTAAGTCATGCGCAGTTTTTCTTGTAAATACGCGAGCGATGTGGAATGTAGGAGGTATGAGTGGCGGTGTTACGCTAACACTGGTATCCACTTCATTCCTATTTGAAATTAAGGGACTCTGTGAACGCAATTCAAATAACGATGCTGGATAGCTGGATCCCTGCTGAAGCGGAGAGTTGGTATCGATTTCACATATTTGCTCGGAATGTGTAAGATTATTGATATCGTGACTTATTTGATGTAGTGCATCATTAATTTTATCTGCTTGTAATGAGAAGTCGTCCGTATTCGTTGGCATATCTGTATTCATATTTCTTGTGATGATATTTGAATGGCACTTGTCGACATTAAATAACACTCGCGCTTCTTTAACTCTCAAGGGTTCCGATCCAAAAGATCTACGTTCATTGCGAATATATTTAGCAAATAAGCGCAGTTCTTTTGGGTATGGAGTTGGTGAACGCATTAAACGAATACCTCCATCAGCTTTGTTATTGTTTGTTAAGCTATTTTTGTTGATATTCTGAACAGTTTCTATTTTTGGGTTGTTATCAGTCTCGCACGCGAATTGGAAGTTGTACAATTTAGAATTAGGTGAAGTGCTCATAATAATGGCCTTTTCCGCAAAACAAATTCGACGTATTGGATAAGTGTTGGTAGCTAGTGGCTCGATCTGGTTTGGACAATCATAATCAGAATTTTCTGATGGCCGTTCATAAGTATCAGATTCCTTCAAATGCGCTGGAGATCGCCTTTCAAAATGGAGTGGGTACATACAGCTACCTGCTTGTGGCAACATAAAACAAGTTAGTTTTGATCTTGTATTGATGTCTAGATATTGTAAAGGAACGAGCGGTTGGGACTGATTATCACTTATCCACAGTGAAGATAAATTGATCAAGTTTAAAACAGAAAGAGGTAGTGTAGCGATATGATTATTAACTATATTCAGAACTTTGAGTTCAGAAAGTCTACCAATACTTTTTGGCAATTCAGATATCTTGTTTCGGCTTATGCTTAAGATCCTTAAATCGTTACAACTGCATATTTCATTTGGTAAGGAATGCAGATCATTATCATCGACAAAGAGGTAACGTAGTTTCCTTAACATTCCAATCGTAGATGGTAAACTGGTGAGTTGGTTGTGACTAAGTTCCAGTTCTTCTAGACTGTCCAAATTAGATATGCTATCAGGCAACTGATGCAACTCATTTGATGCACATTTCAAAGTGACTAGAGATTTCAACGAGCCAATACTAAATGGAAATGTATCTAAATTATTTGTGCACAAAGACAAGACCTCAATGTCCCGCCAGTTACTCATATCGTGTGGAAGAATACTAATATTATTACCAGATGCATCGAAATGTAAAATGTCGCGTAATTTCCCAACATTAGACGAAATTCTATTAATTTGGTTAAAGTCAATCCATAGTTCACGCAGCTGCTTCAATTCACCAACAACTTCCGGCTAAAAAAAATATGATGCTTTATTTTAGAGAGAAATAAAAAATTATATGTAGATGTCTTCGGCTATGCCGAAGGTAGTCACCTTTCACTAAAACCAAATTATAGCTCCTTAAAATAAACCGATTGAACTGATTTCAAAGCTCTCAACTATTCATGAAAGAAGGTGGTAGTTGAACAATTAATACTTAGTTAGGAAATCTTTTACCTTCTTATGAACGCGCTTTTCCTAGCAAAGTCAGTAGAATACGGCCCGAGAAGACGATTAGGAGGATGATCTCCTGGTAGTTTGAAAACGAGGAAGATAATAAGCTTGGTTTCCGCAGCTTCTAACCATATAAAGCAGATTTACTTTCACCCATACTGGTAACCGTCTTTCAAACGGCTATGCGATTGAAGTATTTTCTCCAATTTGTATTTCAAACGACGGGAAAGACTCGCATGAGACAGAAGGGCTTTCGACTGATCAGTCTATCTTCATTTCTACACAAGACACTTGAGCGCCTATTAGACGCGCACAGCAAACAAAACAAAACAGCGCTACATTCGCTAGCACACATAGTAGAGTAATCACTACACTATAAAGAATACCTTTTCAGGCATCAAAAACATCTTCCTAGAAGTTATAACCTCATAAATTCGAAATTGTGTGGATCATAAATTAAAAGACTTCCAGTAAGAAGTACGCCTTAGGGTGGGATAATCTCGCGACTAATGTGGAACGTAACTAACGACAGTACTATAGAACTCGAAGTCATTGGCGTTAAAGTGGGCGCTTTGCTGAGATGTGGATATAGCCTTCTCGTGCAGGCACCTTCTCTCCTTAAACTATGACGTTGAAGGATTGTCTGCAGTTCTGTTTAAGCAGTGTAAATCTTTAGTGTACCCATTACTGGAATCTTTGTTTAATAAATCTTTATTTTCGGGCACTTTTATAGATTACTGGAAATTGGCTTTTTTTTAAGAGTGGTAATAGAAATCATATTAGTAATTACAGACCAATCTTTTTTTTTTGAATGCATTATTCAAGATAAACTTTTATTCGCCGTTAAGAATTCAATGTCTGGAGTAGCTTTGCTTTAAACCGGGCCGTTCAACCGTGTCTAATTTAGCAGTCTTCTCAGACGACTGTTTAGCAGCTTTTCAATCAGCGATTCAGGTGTAGACATACCGACTTCTCAAAGGCCTTCGATAGGGTTTCTCAAGTTATCATTTTAAAAAAAGTTAGCCTGCACAGGCTTCCCTTCAGTCTTCCTGCATCTTAATTACACAATCGCCGTTGCGCCGTAGTTGTCGACAATGTTTAGTCTTTACCTTTCGCTACAAGCTCACTGGTCCCGCAAGGTAGCATCCTGGGTCTACTCTTTTTTGTGTTATTTATTAATGATACTAGTCCTTGTTCTCTTTGTCAAAGTTTCTGCTTTACATGTTTCCCCTACAGCGTTATAATGAAATAAAAGACCTGGGAATAATCTTTTACTCTAAGTTAACATTTTCCGATTACATTACCCCTTATTTTAACTAAATCATATGCCACGTTTGCTTTTGTAAGGCGTCATAGTGCAGAATTCACTGACACGTATACACTGAAAAACTCCTGTATACGGCATTTGTGCGTTACAGGTTCGATACGCGTTTATTTGGTCTCCTTACTATACGAATTATATTACCAGAATTTATCGGATCCAGAAAGTATTCTTACGCTCTGCTCTACGTAACTTACGCTTCTCGGATCCTATCCTCGCCTATTTGTCGAGATGCATATTAATGACACTGTTATCCTTACAGAGTACGAGAGTAATTCTGTCATTATCTTTAGTTTTCGATATAGTCCGTGGTGTTGTTGTCTGCCCCTAGAGAGGATTCTCTTTAATAATCCAGCTGGACCTCTTTGGTGCTCAGAGTTTTTCTATGTTGGTGTTTTTAAGACTCTGTAAGCGCAGAACGCTCCCATTACTAGGGCCTTAACTGAGTTCAATAGAATCTATGAACTTTTGGATATTGATTTTTCATTTTCAATAAATCGCTTTATAAACTCGTTGAATCTTTTTTATAAGTAGTTTTGTTTACTCTTATTATTAATTGTATTCAAACTGTGTTCTAACTAGTCTATAAGAATTTCCACTGTATTCATTGCCTAATGAAATGAAATAAAGAAAAAAGAACTAGGCGCAAGCCCTGCAAAAGCAGATTTGCTGCTATTCAACAGAAGTCGCAAAATACACGAGCTCAGCGAAATTTCTGTATCTTTGGGGCAACCTTACCTTAATAATAATAATCCCAACGGGTTTTACCCTCCATTCCCGCTCATCCGCACGAGGGGCGCAGTCCGCATGACGTACGGAACCACTATTTTCAATTTTTGTGTCGAGATCTAAAACTGTTCAGCTACAGAACTAAATTCATCAGCTGATTTTATGTATTTATGTTAATAATTCATTTATTGAGAAAGGAGAGTACCGTTTTCTTAATACTGAAAAGCGGATCTGATATATCAAACGTGCTGGAATGAGAGTTAAAATCCTGGCATAAGCAAAGGAGTGGGTCGTGCAATTCCAAATTAGTTTTAAAAGCTTTCAGAAATAGGGAACAAAAGTGTCTTGATACCCGGGAGGGAACATTAATAGTAATAGGCTCGTTGGTCTTATATGTATATAGAAACCCTTTTCACCAGAGACAGTAAATAGCTGCTTTTACATTATAAAATCAAAAGCATATTTATTTATTGTACCTTTTTTAAAATTCTTTCTCATCGTAAAACATAATATTCAAATATCCTTAAGGCTGTTTTTATAGAATTTATTATATAGTTTATTGTTTGTTATATATATTTATAATTATAATTTTATTATATTTATTATTATATATTTATTTATTTATATATTATACATATATGTATATTATATATAATATTATTATATTGAGCAAAATATACCGATTACAATACGTAAGATGACTTACGAGCGTAAATGAACTCTACGAGTGACCTGCAGCCGGATTCGGACATTCGCTATCGCTAATTTTGACCGCCAAAAATCTCCCAAAGCCAAACAACGTGCAATATCTACTTAAACACCCGTTATACTGCCAGATTTGGGTGATCACACATTACATTTGTTACTTTTCTGTGTTGTATACTTTTGGGCCCCACTGCTATTTGGAGAAATCGAAAATTTAGCATAGCGATTGTCAGAATTCCACAATTTTCACATGGCTATACTTTTCTCATTATTTTTGGAGCAATTTTGGATCTTAATATGAAATTAGAAGGCACAGTTTTACTTTTAAGTCAAAACTTTCAATATTACTTTTTGAGTTATTTTACTTAAGACAGAGTTTGTTCATACAAATGTAATGAAAGACTTTCATTTATGTGTCACCATCAAGGTGCACGCTACGTATCGGAGGAGAAGTTCGGCCAAACACTAACTAATGTGTAAGCGCCAATCTATTATTATTATTATTAGATATAAATGTATACAAAGCAAGACTCTCATAAAAACGTTAGCTCCGAAAAATCGTTTAAATCGAATAACGGAAAGACGTGCCTCAAAGGCCCTAAAGTTCAGCAAATTCATGGAATTTTTCACAATGTCGTCAAAATTGCCTATAAGTTAGTGGGAAATTTAATATGTTTTAATGGCACTTGGTGTAGTTAGGTCCCACGATGTCAAAAATGAAACCTTCCCTACTTGGAAAGTTATTGAGGTTTTTCCCACGAAAATTAAAATTTTCTGGGATCTCAGAAGTTAATTTTAGCCCAGTAAATTCAGATCAAATTGGTACGAAGAAAACAATTGTAGCGAACTTTTGATGCAGTTTACTTTTATTTGACACGTAGACCATGGATCTAGTCTTGCTCATAAATTTCATATGGGAACATTCCGCCATATTGGGTTTTAGGTTTTTTGGGATTCTTTGCGATTTGCAAGCTAATTTTGCATTTTTCCTAAAACCGGTTGAATTAAAATTTGTAGAGAATCTAATTACCGACATGTTTTATATACAAGGTTGTCAAAAAATTATTTTTTATTGTAAATTAGCAAAGTGCGAAAAATTTTTACGTTGTACAATTTCTGTTGAAAATACGTTACAGATTAAAATGCTTAAGTTGTAGAGAATTTAATTATCCATAACTTTTGTACGATAATTATTTTTGTGTGATGCTTAGATCACGACCGAGAACGTGCTAAACATAGCCATGTAAGGGAAGCGGCGTAAAATTCGTTTCCACATCACGTCAACCGGTACAGTACGATGGTCAAAATTCTATAGGACGGATTAAAAAGATTAAGGTCTTAATATTGTTACCTTACTTTTTGCTACCAAAAGTCGACCTACCTAATGTACCAAAGCAAGTGCACTTACCAGTGCCCAACAACAACAATACACAAGGGCCAACCAAATAAACAAATATACGCACAAAAAGGAAGTGACAAAAAAAATTGCAACCGGCTGACTCAGTGGTGACGGCATGGTTGCTTGAGGGGGAACAACAGGGCAATATACAAAATACTGAGGGCAAATGGAATTTAAAGCTGGACAACAACAATTTTATGAGGGAACGGCATCAACTATTAATATGTATGTAGCGAACTAACGTACAAATATCACTACTAGGGCGAGCCTAAAATTACAAGACAAATCACTGAGTATTTAAATGCGGCCCAAAAGTATTAAACGACAAAACAGAAGATTCTACGCAACAAAAATGCAAAAACAAAACCTTGTTTTTTGGAGCACCCGAGGTGATGTCCAACCAAAAGGTTACGAACCCACTCGCAATACCGCCCAGGCTGCCAGGGGTAACTTTAACCCGCCAAGTGGCTGGGCTCTGCGTGCGGGATGTTAAAAGGAAGGGATAGGGAACACAATAGGGGAAAACTACCGACAACTCTACTAGCCAAATACAGGCAACAACACAAAGGATACTTACGCTGTGGTCTGAGTGTGCGTCGAGGCTAAGTGCCTTTGCTGGCACTTTTCAGAACTATCTCAAACACT